GAGCGGGGGCTGGGACCTCAGCTAGGGCTGTGGGGGGCAGCGGGTCCTGATCTGGGCCCAGGAAGAAGAGCAGGGGGGTGGGAGCTGGACACTTGGGTCCTCGCCCCTCGTCCCAGTGGTCCCCTGGCACCCGGATGCCTGGGTTTTTGGGGGGGCGGGGGGTGGGCACAAGCTGGGGCCTGATCCAAGGCCAGGGACCCCTGGGGTGGGTGTGGCCTGCTCTACCCCTGCCCTTACCTGCCCCTGCCCCTGCCCCTGCAGGTGACGCCGTCGTCGAAGATCGTGGGGGACCTGGCGCAGTTCATGGTGCAGAACGGGCTGTCGCGGGCCGACGTGGAGGCGCAGGCGGAGGACCTGTCCTTCCCCCTCTCCGTGGTCGAGTTCCTGCAGGGCCACATTGGCATCCCCCATGGCGGCTTCCCCGAGCCCTTCCGCTCCAAGGTGCCGCCATGGGGGGCTGAGTGGGGGCCCTGGTGGTGGGGGCGGAGCCATATGAGGCCTCTGGCAAGGGGGTGGGGCTATAGGGAGTCCATAGCAACAGAGGTGGGACTTTATGGGGTCCTTGGCAATGGGGGCTTAGCTCCCCTAGCAACAGGGATGTAGGCATGGGGGTCTGTAGCAACAGGGCGGAGGCATATGGGGTCCCTGGCAATAGGGGTGGGGCTATATGGGGCCCCTAGCAACAGGGGTGGAGCTATTGGGGGTCCTGGCAATGGGGACAGGGTGATAGGAGGCCCTTAGCAACATGGGGTGGAGCCACAGAATGTCCCTGGGAGCAGGGGTGGGGCTATATAGGCAATGCGGGCGGGGCCAAACAGCCCCTAGCAACAGGAGAAGGGCAAAAGGTGGTCCCTGGCAACGGGTGGAGCTAGATGGCTTGGTGATGGGGGAGGGGCTGGACAAGGTCCCTAGCAATGGGGCGGGGCGATGAGGGAGCTCTGGCAACAGGGGTAGGGCTTTATGTCATCCAGAGAGTTCCTGGCAACTATTGGGGAGGGGCTAGATGGGGTCCCTAGCAATGGGGGTGGGGCCATATGTAGTCTCTAGCAACAGGACTTCAGGGGTTTCCTGGCAACAGGCAAGCATGCAGAATCCCTCTCCCTAGCAACCAGGGGGCGGGCCTTGATGGGGAATCCCCCTCCCTAGCAACCAGGGGACAAGATTTCCCCAGCCCCCCTGATCCCTGCTGTCCTGGCCTGGCTCCCCAGGTGCTGAAGGACCTGCCCCGGGTGGAGGGGCGCCCGGGGGCCTCACTGGCCCCCCTGGACTTTGAGGCACTGGAGGCGGAGCTGCGGAGTCGCCATGGCGATGACATCACCCCCGAGGACGTGCTGTCGGCCGCCATGTACCCACAGGTCTTTGAGGAGTTCAAGGCCTTCACAGCCGCCTTCGGCCCCGTTGAGTGCCTCGACACCCGCCTCTTCCTCGAGGGGCCCAAGATCGCTGAGGAGTTCGAGGTGGGGGCATGGCCATGGGAGGGGGGGTGGAGTCTCAAGGGGGGTCAGCGCAGGGCCTCTGGGATGGGGTCTCTTGCAGAGATCTGGTGCAGAGCCTTATGGGGGTATCAGGGCGGGGTCTCATGGGGATCAGAGGCATGGCTGCAGGTGGAGGCGTAGTCTCACGGAGATCAGGGCAGGGTCTCTAGTATTGGGGGCAGTGTCTTATGGGAGATTAGGGCAGGGCCTCAGGTGGAGGCGGAGTCTCAGAGGGATCTGGGGGTGGGGCTTCTGCCATTGGGGGTGGCATCTCAGAGGGGGTTGAAGGGCGTAACCTTTAGGATTGGGGTGTGGCCTATGCAATGGGGCGGAGTCTCGAGGATCCAGGTGGGTGGGGTGTCCTCCTGGCAGGGTCTCTGACCAGGAGGGACATGGCGAGGGGGCGGGGCCTGGGTCTAACAGACTCCGCCCCTTGCAGGTGGAGCTGGAGCGGGGCAAGACGTTGCACATCAAGGCGCTGGCGCTGGGTGACCTGGCGCGGGGCGGGCAGCGCGAGGTCTTCTTCGAGCTCAACGGGCAGCTGCGCTCCATCCTCGTCAAGGACACGCGGGCCATGAAGGTGCGGGGGCGGGGCCTGGGCTGGGGGTGGGGCCTGGAGGCAGAGCCTAGGCCCTGGGGGCAGGGCCTGGGGTTGGAGGCGGGGCCAGGCCTCAGGGCTGCTGGATCATGAGTGAGTCCATTGTTCTGGGCTGAGGGGGGGCCCAATGTGGGGAGAGGGGTGATTGGGTTGGTCCACTGGACCAAGGCTTAGTTGGGGGGTGACTGGGCTGGAAGGACCCATTGATCCAATCGGGGGGGAGTCAGGGTGGGTTGGCTCAAGCTTTTGGGGAGCCGGGGGCAGGGGGTGGATACTGGGCTGGAAGAATCCATTGGTCCAATCTGTGGGGTGGTCCAGGCTTTAGTGGGGGAACCCTGAGCTGGAAGAAACCACTAGTTCATCCTGGAGGGGGACATTTGATTTGGTTGGTCAGTTAGTCCAGTCCTTTGGTTCCTGCCAGCCTGGTGCCCAATTCTCACCCCCCCACCATTCATCTAGTGTGGTGCGGGGGGAGTACCAGGGTGAAGGAGTCCATAGATGTAATTCAAGTTGGGGGGGGGTGGTATAGAGGTGGAAGAAACCATTCTAAGGGGGGGGTGTTTAGGCTGGA